CCTGTGTACAGCGCCCCCTAGTGACCCCCTGCCCCACTCCCTGTGTACAGCGCCCCCTAGTGACCCCCTGCTCTGCTCCCTGCAGCACAGTGCCCCCTAATGACCCCCTGCCCTGATTTCTGTGTACAGCGCCCCCTAGTGACCCTCTGCCCCACTCCCTGTGTACAGCACGCCCTGCTGACCCCCCTGGGATTGCCTCAGATATCCACCACCTACATCGTGATGGCCTGCCGCGAGCGCGCACTTTGGGCGTGCCATCTTCCCTGCCCCTGCTCAGGGCCCCAGCCCTGCCCACGCCCCACTCACCCTGCGTGCCCACCAGGGCCACGGCCACCTCCGAGGGGTTGCGGTAGCTGCTCAGGAGGTTGTAGTACTGGGAGACCTCCTGGAAGCTGTCTTCGTTCTCCAGGCTGAACACAAAGACCACGGCATCCACCCAGCTGGCAAACTGTGTGTGTGGGGTGGGAGAGAGCGGGAAGGGGGGTTGGTTCTCTGTGCTGGGGGGAGGGGTCCCCAACACACAACCAGGGAACCCCCCACCCCACCCCCAGCCTTGAGGCCAGAGCTGCGGGGGCGTCTCCGGAGTGGAGACACCAGGAGCCAGGGATCAGCTGCCGGAGCATCCAGTGCCCTGCGATACACCACCACCGCCCCCCCGGTTGCGGCTGCTCCCCCTCCTCAGCCCTCCCCCAGTGCTTACCTTGACGTCCGGGGCACCCCCTTCCTCTCGGATCAGTAACAGGTGACTCTGCCCGTCCAACACCACTTCCTTCTTGAACTGTCCGCCTGGATCCACAGAGAGGGGGAGAGAGCAGGTGCTGAGCAGGGCCCCTGTGCCCGACAGCCCCTGCCTGCCCACGCCGGGCTCAGCCTCGTCCCAGAGCTCGGGGGAGGCGTTTGTTGCGGTCACAAAATCAGCCCCCGAGGTGACGCAAAGCTCAAGTTACTGGCCTCTGCTCAAAAGTCCTAGCAGGGGCTGCAGGTCGGGAGTGAGGGGCACCAGTTGAGCTGTAGAGGGGGGAGCCCAGGGCTGGGCTAGCAGGGGCTGTGGGTCGGGAGTGAGGGGCACCGGCAGGGCTGTGGGGGGAGCCCAGGGCTGGGCTAGCAGGGGCTGTGGGTCGGGAGTGAGGGGCACCGGCAGCGCTGTGGGGGGGAGCCCAGGGCTGGGCTAGCAGGGGCTGCAGGTCGGGAGTGAGGGGCGCTGGCAGAGCTGTAGAGGGGGGAGCCCAGGGCTGGGCTAGCATGCGGGTCGGGAGTGAGGGGCGCCAGTGCCACGCACTCCCCTGCAGGGCCAGGCCTGTGGACTACAGAAGCAAAGAGGACATTGGAGGCCGACGCCTCCTGGGCACAGGGCCCGTGTGCGGACGGGCTGGGGGCTAATGGCTGCGACTGGCCGGTTGCTGGCCCTGGTGACTTAGCCCCTCTGTCTAATCTGGGCCCATTCGGGCTCTGGACAATGGCCGGGGGGAAGCTGCCGCCAGCTCTTTGTGCCCAGCCCGTCAGCTGCGTGGGACTCAATCAGGGCCATTGTCTGCAGCTCCCTCGGTGCCAGCAGCTGGCCAGTGCCCCGCACGCACCCCCGGGCAGCAGCTGCCCATTAGGAGAACGGAGGGGTGGGAGATGGCGATCCACAGAGCCAGGCAGGGGGGCCCAGCTAGGACAGAGCCAACGCAGGGTGCTCCCCACAATGCACCCGATGGGGCCGTCCCACGTGGGGCTAGCGGGGGCAAGGGAGGAGGGGAGAGGTCCAGGTGCCCTGCTGGGAAATGCCCAGTTAGGAGAAAATCCAGATATGGCAAAAATTAGGCTGAGGGGCACATTCAGGCCCCAGAACGGGCACGGTCTGGCCACGGAACTGGCAGGATCTGGCTACGGAACTGGCACAGTCTGGCCACAGAATCAGCATGGTTTGGCCACGGAACCAGCAGGACCTGGCCACGGAACCGGCACGGTTTAGCCATGGAACCGGCAGGACCTGGCCATGGAACCGGCAGGATCTGGCCATGGAACAGGCACGGTTTAGCCATGGATCCAGCAGGACCTGGTCACGGAACCGGCATGGATCTGGCAGGATCTGGCCACAGAACCGACATGGTTTAGCCATGAAACCGGCAGGATCTCTCCACAGAACCGGCAGGGTCTGGCCATGGATCCAGCAGGATCTGGCTATGGAACCGGCACAGTTTAGCCATGGAACCGGCACAGTTTAGCCACGGAATCGGCAGGACCTGGCCATGGAACTGTTACTGGCATGATTTAGCCAGGATCTGGCAGGACCTGGCTACGGAACCGGCATGGTTTAGCCACGGAACCGGCAGGACCTGGCCACGGAACCGGCACGGTTTAGCCACGGAATCGGCTGGGTCTGGCCATGGAACTGGCAAAGTCCGGCCCCGGAACTGGCACATTCTCCGCTCTGCTGGCCTGGATGCCCACACCCCGACACACCCCTGCTGGTCTCTGCAGGGCCCAGAAGGAGAGGAGCAGCCCGAGGCAGGGCCAGGCCAGGGTGGGGCCCCAGCCCAGCACACGGCTCCGCGCCCGCCCCGCCCCGCCCGCCCCCCGGCACTCACTCTCGGCTGGCTCCAGGCCCAGGTAGGAGCCGGTGAGGAAGCGATGGACGAGGGCCGACTTCCCGCTCTTGATGCTCCCCAGGACGCCCTGGGAGGCCAAAGGGCAGAGGTCATGGCAGGTCACGCTCCGTCCTGTGCTAGACAGTGTCCCCCCATCCCACCCCCACTTGGCTCTTCCACTCCAGTCACACCAGCGCCCCCCCCCCCCCAGCCTGGCTCCCCCAGGGGTCACTGGCCAAGGGGCAAGGGGACCGCCTCTCCCTTGCGTGAGGCAGGAGGGAAGGAACTCCCTTGTGTCCAGGAGCCCAGTGCACCCCCAATCCCTCCCCCATCCCCCATTGGGGGGCCCCCCCGGAGTTCTCTGCTGCCCCCTGTGACTGGGCTGGGAGCTCCACGTGTCCTGGAGCAGGCCTGGGGCGGCGTCCGTCTCCACAGCCCCCCCCGGGCGCATCCCGCGGCACGAGTCACAGGGCCTCTGAGCTCGGGCGTCTGAACCGATGCCAAGTGTCAGCTGCCAGGCTCGGTGCCATGGGCTAGCAGGGGGCTGCGGGTCGGGATTGAGGGGCACCGGCAGAGCTGTGGGGGGACCCCAGGACTGGGGGCTGCAGGTCGGGATTGAGGGGCACCGGCAGAGCTGGGGGGGGACCCCAGGGCAGGGGGCTGTGGGTCAGGATAAAGGGGCATCGCAGAGGTTGGGGGGTGGAAACCCAGGACTGGGGGCTGCAGGTTGTGATTGAGGGGCAACGGCAGAGCTGTGGGGGGACCCCAGGGCTGCGGTCGGGATTGAGGGGCAGAACGGTGCGGGGAGGGGGGGGGACGACCCAGGCCTGGGGGTCGGGTCTCACTGCCATAAACCCCATGTTTCCGTACATCCCGCCCGCTTGGTGGCTGGAGGGGGGCGGCGGGGGGGCAACGAGACACCTACCAGTCTGAGCTCCGGGATGGAGCGGCTGAGGGTCCATTCCTGGCTGTTTGCTATGGCCTCTGAGGAGAGAAAGAAAGGGGGCATGAGGCCCACGGAGATGCCCCTGGTGGGCCAGGCAGCTCAGTGCTGGCGCCCGCTCCCCCCGGCGACAGAGCCCCAACCCGAAGGGACGGACCCGGCTCTGAACCACCAGGGAATTTGGGGCTCTGGCCTCTTCACATCAGACTGGTGCGAAGGGACCTTGAGGCAGGTGTCCGGGCTCCGGATCAGGCCCCCTCGGTGTGTACCCGGGTGCTGGGCTGGCCAAGGGGGCCCGGCGCTCTGCTAAGGGAGCAGCTCCCCCTGCCCCCGGGGGCGAAGTGGAGGCGGGGGGAGGGCGTGGTGCCAGCCTGGGGACGGCAGGGCCTGGAGCCTGGGTCTTTACGCTGGAAGCTGAATGGAGCCAGGGGGCGCCCGGACGCGGCGACGCAGCACAGAGAGGCTATTTACAGCCAGGCCTGGCCGCTCGGGCAGACACTGGGTTATTGAGCCCTGGATGACAGAGGCACCCATCAGCGGCTGGAGAGCGCCGCGGGAAAGCGACCGGAGCAAAACTCCATCGAGGCATTTACGACGGGGGGGGGGGGGGGGGCACGGCTGCGGGATCTGCCACCACGGCACCGCCCCACAGCACCACGCAGACCACCCCGGCTCCGGACGCAACAGCACGGACGTAGTTCTGGGCTATACTGTACGTACTGCCCCATAAACACTCCACTGCACACCACAAACACTATAGACCCCAGCCCCATATATACCCCGCTGCCCCGTATAGCCCAGCATGGATCCAGGACCCAGTTTCACTATATATACTAGCCCCATATATACGCCACCCCTTCCCATATAGACCAGCATGGATACCGTGGGTCCACCACACGGTATATACTGGCCCCTGTGGAAAGCGAGGGCAGCATCCACCCGGTGCTGCGTCTGGCTGGATTTCGCTCCCAGTGATGGGGTCTCGCCCGCGAAGCAGAGAGCCGGGGGGCTGGTTAATGTCCTTTCTCTGCTGGTTTGCCCTGGCCCAGGGTCTGGGCTCTGGGGCAACTCTGGGCCCAGGCTGCCGCCGGCAGGACAGGCCCTGCCATGGGCTTCGTCCAGCTGGGCTCCGCACAGCGGAACTCATTCCTTCTCTCTGGGTTACCATGGAACAGTTGCTAAGCAACAGTGCCCGGCGCGTTGCTGAGCGACCTGGAGAGACAAGGGCCCAGGCTACAGCCCCATTGGCTCTGGAGTCCTGGAGCTGAGGTTGTTTCCTGACAGCCAGGTACCCGCGGGTGCCACCTCCCATGCAGCCAGCCTGGCCGCTGGTCCCACGGTGGACAGCTTCCAGCTGGTGCCACCCCACTCCCGCCAGCTGATAGCTCCGTCGCCCCCACCTAGGGGCGTCTCTCTCTCATGCCCTGGCCCCCGACGGGGGATGCTACCCGACCTTCCTAACATCCTGGTCAGGCACGTCCGTGGCTACCTTGGGTTCTCGTATTGTTCCCAGCACCACCCTATGAGCACCTTATGCTCTTCAACCCCCCCCCCCCCCGTGTTATCCCCATTTGAAAGGTGGGGAAACTGAGGCACAGAGTAGCTAAGTGACTTGTCCGAGGTGGTAAAGCAAAGGGCATCGAATCCGTCTCTCCGAAGTGCCCTCATCACAGGGCTGGCCGTCTTCTCCAGGAAGGACTTTTTCAAAGGCCCTCAATGGGAAGAGCAGCCCAAGCCCCAGTGAAAGCCAGATGTGTGCCTAACTCCCTTAGGCATCTCTGACTATCCCAGTGCTGCAGGGACACAGGGACAGATGAGGCGGGGGGCAGGAGACCAGTAAACTGCCCCTCCCTTCAGTCTCAGGCGGGAGACAGTAAAAAGCAGGGGCGAGGGGCCGGGTTAGCCGAAGAATCCAGCAAGGCTGTGTCTGCAATCCACCCTCCTCCTCCCCCGCGGCCGCCTTGACTCAGTGATTGCCCGGCGCTGTGAGTCGCAGCGACAGGCTCGACTCTCTCTGCCCCGGGCTGGCGCCGTCATCTCGGGTTGTTATGTAAGCTCTGCTGTCACTTGGCATGGCCCTCTGGCCTCGGCGATCACAGGACTCCAGCCCATGACAGAGGGGAGCGGACACGACCGGCGTGGGCCCCCTTGCACGCCCCACACTGGCAAGGAGGCAAAATCTGGATGGTTCGCGGCCTGCCCTGAAGCTGGGAAGCGACTGGGGTTCAGAACAGCTGTGGGGAACCCCTGGGTTTGGAGTATTCGGGAGCCACCAGCCCCGAACGAGGCAGATGCCCCGTCCTCTCGGTCAGGGGCGGGACGGGGGCCCTGGATCCTGGGACACGGCCAGGCCAATCCACAAAGAAATCGTGCTCTTGGGTAGTTCCTGATGCCCCCCACTTAGACCCACGCTGCTCCCTACGGGCACGTCGCGCCGGCTCTGCGCCAGCGGCCGTAGCAGCCCCGGAGAGGGCCGGGCGAAACACCCCGTCGCCACGTGCGACAAGTCCCACTACACCCTGCCACCTTGGAGACGCTGCCCCCTGCTGGGGACACAGTCACATGCGAGGGATTGCGGCCTGCGATGAGGACCGGGCCGCGGCAGCGGAAGGGGTCGCCCTCAGAGGAGCAGGGAGCTCGGGACCGAGCCTCGGACGCTGCCCCGCGGCCGTGCCCAGATGGCAAACACAACACCAGGTTTGCAGGTGTGTGTGGGGGAAGGGCGGGGGGAGCCTGGCAGCCCCCCCACCTTGGCACATGGCCCTCGGGTGACAGCATCAAGCAGGCTGGGAGAAGCCACAGTCTGGCACCTGCAGGCACCCACTGGCTTGGTCGCGGTTGGCTGGGCGCCTGACGAGCGTCACCGAGCGTTCCCCTGACACAACCCGCCCCCCCTTTAGTGTTAACGAAGGAGAATCCCAGCACCAAGTAGAGCAGGACCACGGGCCACAGCCCAGTGAAGGTCCTTCGAGGTTTCTGCCGTGCAGGAGGAAACCAGTGCCGGGCAGGCTGCCGGGGGCTGTACGTCACTTTGGGTTGGAAAGCTACAAAACCCTCTTCCTTTTGCACCACTTCAGCCACCGTCCCCTTGCTCCCTTGTCTCAACCGCCCCTCCCCAACCCCCGGGATGAAGGGCCAGAGAGCAGCACCCAACATTTGCCCTAGAGCACAGCTTCCCCTTCAGACAGTTTGCGAGCTCTCCCGATAATCCAGCCGTGGGGGTCACCCCGGGTTATTCAGGTGCTTCAAAAGGACCTGAGCTCTTTTGACAGCCTGGCCCCAGATCAAGTGCTGGAGAACTACGTCACAGCCTGATGGATCCCGCCAGGCAGGAGTTTGCCTGATGCCCTTTGGCTCAGTGTCATGCCACCGCCTGGACCCGCTTCAGCCAGACTGGACCTAATTCTCCTTTGCCCCGGGCCTTGCACCCCGGTCGCTGCAAATCTCTGCCCTGTGGATTCGGTCTCCCTTTGCCCTGAAGGATGCTCGAGCGGGGTCCCCTTCTGGAAGCCGGGCGTGCCCGTACGGGGCGTGCAAAGTGCCCGTGCAGCACTTCAAAATCGTGCACAGATGCCTGTGCACCTTTATCCACAACGGTGACCAATGGGGCTGCTGCTTCCCCCCAGCACCCGGCGGGCCTATTGGTGCAACACACGGCCACTGTATTGCTGGGCAAATCCTGTCTCGGCACCAGTAACAACCCTTCCCGGCTATGACATCACCCCTCCCCCAGCCTGATTGGTGCGGAACCGCTCAAGCAGCAAATCAGCTACCAAGATTGGGACAAACTCAGCCGCTGCGATTGGCCCGTCAGGTTCGGCATCTTGCCCCCAGCAGCAGCCGATCTCTGCTGCGTGGTGGGAAGAAAAGCCCAGAATGCACCTGGCCAGTGGGCCGGGATTCCTTCCTGACCCCGGGGTGAGAGATCAGCTAGGCCCTGGAAGGTGAGATCTGACTGCCCCCAGCCCCAGCTGTCAGGGCTTTGAAAGCCTCCCCCCAGCTCCAGGTCCTCATCACAGGGCGAGCTGGCCCTTTAAGGGGAGCGGGGTTTAGTCCCCTTCCCAAGTGAGGGGAGGGGCTCAAGTCAGTCCATTTAGGGCCATAGGGCCAGCAGGGATCAGGCGCCACCTGGCCCAGGTGTGGCTGAGCCCGCCTCCCCTTAAAGGACCAGCTCACCCTGTGACAGTCCTAAGGAGGGATTCAGAGCAGTGGTCGCGGGAGTCGAGGTGATTTTGCCGCAGCGACAAGGCTGAGAGCAAAGCAGGGCTCTTGCTCTCCGGAGGATGCTAAAGCCTGAGATACGGCCATGGAATTTAGGCACCTAACTCCCATTGAAACCAATAGGAGTTAGGCGCTTACCTACCACTGAGGATCTAGGCCTTCATCTCTATTGCTCTGGTATAGCCGGGAGGGAAGGAAATGTCTCTAGCTGCCTCAGAGACCCTGACGGCCAACAGGAGAGGAGCTGCTGGTTTCCACCCCCCGGCCGAGGGCAGGTCCTGTCAATTAAACAGCCAAACGAGGCCATAAACAACGCCGGCTCAGCGAGCCTTGAAATGCAGCTCCCCGGCTACACAAGTGTCGGCTGGCGAGGGATGGGTGCGGAGGGTTAGCGCTGTCTTAGCCGCTCGCAATCTACCCCTCTTGGGACGGAGGGCAAGGGACTGGCACGAGGGCACAGAACCACCGGCCACGGGCAGGGCTGGGGAGACGCCGCCGTGGCTGGCTGTGGCTGGAGGATGATCCGTGCCAACGGTACCGGCTTGGGCTCTCTCCTTCTGTCGGGCCCGCCTGCCGTCTCTTAGGGGAAGGGACCGCACTGCACCCCGGGTAACAGGGCCCCAATCCCCGACTGGGTCTCCTGGCACGACCACAATACAGAGAGAGCTTTGGCTCTCCACGGTGGCCAGGCTGGCATCGAGTTGAGACCAGAAGGAACCAGGGTGAACATCCAGAGGCTCTTCCCCTGGGATTCCCACATCCAGCCCATATCTGGTGGGTGAGCTAGAACATGTTCCGACCCAGGCTGAGACGCTCCAAA